TCCACCAACTGTTTGGAGTGATTGGCAGCATGAGTTAGTGAATCATTGTTACTCTGTCAGACATGTAGGATTTAGCAGAATGTAGCAAATTTAGAGTTAAGTCAACCAGGGGATATTGTCTTGATTGTGTACTTATTGTCCTGGGGAGTAGCCAACAAAAAATATGAGGTTTCAGGCAGGAGAATTAGAATTTAGATCAAACTTCTAAAGGGACTATTATTTGTAAGCAGAGGTAACATATGTCACAGTTGATTGCTTCCTTTTCATAATGGAAAATATGAACTTGCCTGGCTACTTTGATTTGTTTTCTCCAGAATGTCATACAACAAGAACTATTGACTATTCACAGAATACAGTGGATGGTTTACAATGCATGCAATTCTACAACTTAATTTGCATTTTTATCTGTTGGTCAAAGCAAAACCTTGCATTTACATGTAAATGTTAGGCTGTGTTGCAAACTAAATGCAGTCCAAAATGCTTGTCAAATTTGATTAAAATTATGCCATTCATCTTCCTTCAAACCCACTGAAAGTGTTAAGTATTCTCAACAACTTAACGTGTCCAAGGGAACATTTTTGGGTCAAAAAATTTGTGATTTTGGGATATTTATTTTATTTTGAGAAAATTTGAACAAGAAGTTTGAAGGTGACCTAGTTTTCTGTACTAGGTTTAGTTTTAGGGCTTAAAGTTAAAGAGAGTAATTGCTTATCTGGTAGTTAAATATTATCCTGACCTTTGGAATGATGTGCTGTACTTCACAAAAGCAAACTTGTCTCTTAGATCTGTCTTATAAATTTTGATAATGGATGGCATGCATTGATTTTTATTATTATTATTATTATTATTATTATTATTTGCAACCACCCTCATTTCCACTACAGCTCAATTGCCATGTTTATTAGAGCCCTTAGGTATTATCATCAGATTGTTCAGGAACATTTTTGGAGTGTTGAGTTTAGCCTTTATTAACACCTTCCCCCATGTAATTGTTTCTAGGAGTTCTACACTGACTCTTAAGCCAGTTTTGACAAGTCAGTTGCATGCTGGTAGTCATTCAGCTTTTTCCTGTTTTTGACTTTCTTTAGTTGGTGTTCTTGTGCATGATTTTGGACACTAGAGTATGATTTTGATGAGAAGTATTTAATTTTGAAGACCTGTGTTTAACTTTGGGAATAGGTTTCTTATTCTGGACACTGGTGTCTGATTTAAGATGCTTGTGTCCGATTTTAGACACTACTGTCTGTTTATGGACAGGTTGGACAGTATGGGATTTCAGACACTTGCATCTTCTTTTAGACACTAGTGTTTTCAATTTTTGATGCAGGTGTCATGGAAAAAAACCTGATTATCACTTCAATAGTTCGTAATCAAACTTTACAACTCTGACTATGGGCAGCTGTCACAAGAGACATGGACATTTTTGCATGACATTTATGATGGAAGTCCTGTGTTATTTCATGAGGGAGAAAAGGATAATGAAGAAGAAAACCAAAAACTCCAGGATGAAGAGGAAGACATTCAATAAGAATGAAACAGTTGATAGGTAATTCTAAGAACATTTCTTGAGTACAAAATTGAGCAGACCTTACTTTTAAGTAGCTTGGTTTTAGGCAACCATTTATTTGGCAGCAGAGCTAAGTTGTTCTTCTGTTTGGCCTGGGTGCCTCTTTTTTCAACTCTTAATGCACCTGAATGGTTATTTTCTGTTCAGATTATTCATAGGTAAGTGATTTTCAGCATTCATGGTTTCTAACCAGGATTTAATAATTCATGTCACGGATTCTGTATGCATTAACTGCCAAAGTTTTATTCGCTGCAAGCCTTTAATAACTCTAGCTGTATCCTGTATATAAGGTTAGTGTACTTATCCTGTTATTTTTTCCCCATGATTGGCCAAGATATTGCATTCAGCCAAGTTTTTTGTACCAGTATAGAATTCAGCTGAAAAATTAATCTAAGAAATCCTTGAATGGGACTTATTCCAACAGAGTTCATCAAAGAAAGACACTACATTTACAACACAAAGAAAGTTCATTAAAAACACAATAAACATTTGATTTATCTTTAGCTTGTGAGGAACAATGTAAACTACTTATTTCCACTGTAATTTTCTGACAAAGCAAAATTTTAAAGTTTAGGGGTGATTGTGCACATATATTGCCAAAAAATAGATTGAATGTGGCAGATTCAGATTTGGAAATGTCAAACTGAAAAAGTTTTTTAACAAGTTAGGGAAATTTGGAAAATTTTATTCTAATAGGAAATACATGTATTTAAACTCACTCTTAATTAAATTATCATTCATGGATTAACATCACCTTTAAGACTCTCTTTCACATTTTTCACAAATTTTATGAATGTCCAGAAGCATTTCTTTTTCAATAAGTGCTGGCTTAGATCTTTTACTGATATGAAGATGTTTCCTTCATGTTCATTCAAGCACCTTCTGGAAAATATTGAGCAATTGGAAAGCATGGTTTAAAAGGCTTTATTTTTCTATTTCCTTTTGCCCAGCATGTTTTGTGGATAATTTGATTAAGGGATATTGAATTTGGTTCTGTTTCCTGGCTATCAACCCAAAAGTCACAGTAATAAATTGCTGTACTCTGCACTCCCTACTCAGGCCCTCAATAGGCAGCTCCCTTTCAAATAACATTTTCCCAAATAAAGCTTCCCAAGATAAAATGTTTTAAGCAAGGTTAGTTGAGAACATTGGTACCAAATATAAATCCCCCATTCCCTCCCCATCCTCACAAAGAAAAATTAGAGCCAGTTGACAAACTAGGTCAGATTAATCGTTTAATTACAAAGAATAAAAGAACTGGTGATGATCACTCATATACTGTGTGACAGGTTAACTGCAGACAACAACAAATGTTAAATACAAAATGATTAATGTTTATTTTGTGAATAATCTAGATCAAAGTATTACCCAAGGTGACAAAAGGTACTAGTACACCTTTTTGATAGCTCTAAGTTTCAATTTCTCTCCTGGGTGTGAAATATAGTACCTTATACATGTACAAGGTATTCACTGGCAGACAAGTCCTTCTGACACCAAGTTGGTACAAATGTGTCACTAAATTTCTCTTCATGGAAAGTCAGCTTTGTTTTTACTGTGTTGTGTCAGGTACAGGTGTAAGCGATGTGTTGATTCTTCAGCCATGTTGTTTTGCTACTATGTCCCTGCCATAAGATAACCCTTGCAAAAGAATGAAATAACACACCCTACACTCCTAAAATAATTGATATCAATTTTAACAAAATGTAACATTTATCCTATTAATTTTAGCAAGTGATCAGTAACAAGAAATTTTTAAGACAATGCACGTCCAAGAAAAACAACAAACCGATTCATTTTTGATACTTTTAAAATATGGATTTAAAATACTGTCAGAAGAGGGTTCTTCAGGATACCTGTAGTAAGAATACTACTAACACTACGTCAACATCTTTGGTACTCAAATGCAGTAACACAAGAAAGGTTACTGATCTCATTAAGTACTGGTACCTAACATGGGTAGTCTGTAGGACTTAAGACACAAGTATCTCTTGTATGCCAGAATAGAGAATTGTAAATGACTGTCATGTTTCAATTTGAGATTAGTAGATCCAAGTAGATCCAAGTAGATCTCTCTTAAAGGAAAAATGCCAAGACAGTACTAGGTTGCTAGAAAAAGAAAGAAAATGTACCAATACCATACCCATTCTTAGATTTGCAGTACATCTTGTCATTTCGTATTGTTGATTCACAGAGGATGGCAAATGAAAGTGCACAATTTTAAAATGCAGGTGAAAAGCTTAGCCAAAATGTCTCCCTTACTGCCTTTTAATCATTTCTTTCAATAGAACTTTCATTTTGATAAGAAACAACATGCAACAGGAGAGCCTGATTTGGGATTTTGACATAATATAATCTCAAAATTAAAAGAGTTAAATCAGTCAGCTGCTAAAGTAACTCAAGAAAAGCTGACATCCTAAGTATCAGCCCTCACACTTGTTGATCTGATAGAGCAAGTAAGGTTAAAATGCCTGATTTCCTCAGTTGCTTAAGTTCTAAAATTCTCGTCATTAATTTCATGTCTCTCATCAACCAAGTATTTTTGTTACTCTCTAAGGCTGTATAAAACTTTCTTTAGAAACTAAACTACCGTCAAGATGTGATTGGGTACCCAAGGCACTTATTTACTTTTGGTTCCCCAGTGGAAGGTACTTATTTAAAACAGGGTGCCTGTTTCCTTTTTTCAGAAATCGCAAAATGTGGGAATAAAGCTTTGATGATTACTTGAAAAGAATCAATATGAAAGGAAAGTGGAGGTGTTGTCCCTAAATCCTCTTCGGCCAGAATGACCAGCCAAGCAATCATCACAAAATTTTAGGAGAAAATAATTTGTTTGAAACTGTGCACTCAGATGAACATGATAGTTGAGATACTGAAACAAAGGGCCACTGCTTTTATAATGAGGCTCTACATAGCCAATTAAAGGAAAGTGACCCATTGTTGATCTGGGTGTACATGTTCTCTGCAGTGCTATCACTGAAACAGAAGAGAAGCACTTATTGGTATAGGGGCACCCATTGGAATAAGAAACATTATTGAATAGGGGCGCTTATTAACCAAAACAAAATTCAGGGGGATGCTTACTGGAGAGGGGGCGCAAATTAGAACAATGGCAGTAAATCAAATTACAATAGGTCTTCACTCTCTTGTTCTCTCCCAGATATCAATTTTCTCTATCAAATAATTGCCTTCTTTGTATCTAAAACTTACTTCCAACTCCTCCATCTCCATCCTCTGCTACTTACCCCACCTCACCCATTTCTAAAACTAAGTTTCAGAGGCTGATTCACGCTGACTGAAAAGTCAGTGCCATAATTCTACATGAAAAGCTTTAACTATTTCCTCAAAAACCAGTTTCTATTAATTGTCAACAAATTATGTCAGCCTAACTTGTTGCCTACCATGTCCCAAGTGAAAAGTTTTCAAAATTTCTCACCCCATCACATAGTCAACTTTGCTTGAGACTTTCTTACAACCAGACAGAGAAAAGACCTTCAGGTCTTCTGGAAAGTATAACAATTCGTCTGCTACTCTGTTTAGGATGGAATCTGTGACTGGGTGTCCTTTTTTCTCTAAATCGGCTTTAGCACACTTTTTAACGTGAGATCTCTCCATCGGCATAAATGGAATAAAGTAATCTATGAGATTTTTATCAATTAGAGAGGAATGCCAAAATCCACCCTTGTTATTAAATTCACCGAGATTGATCACTTTGTCCATGTCCTTGATCTTGATATCTTCTCGTTTCTTTCCGTCTTTCCAGTGTTTTAGAACAGCATTGTTGATAAGATTACCTCCCGTATTGCTAAGGAAAATGAAGATACTTTGACGGTAATCGATCTTTCCTTCATCAGGGGGGTAGTGATCTAAGAAGGGTTTAAGCACATCTACGAGGCCTATCGGCATTTTGTCCATTTCGTCGAAGATAAACAGCGATCTGGGGCAATTTGATACAGAACTTACCACTCGATTGCGCAGCTGTCGCTTGTAAAATTCTACTTGGAACTGATGAGGGAATTCATGGGTAGCTATGATCAGATGAACATAATCACTCTCCAATCCCTTCTTGAAGATATGTTCGGCAATGATTTTGCTCACAAAGTTCTTTCCTGATCCAGTCCAGCCGTTGAAGGAAATCGCCAACGCTTTGTTAGGCGACTCATTGTTCAAATGTCCAACAAGAGCCTTGAAAACAGTTTCAGTCACCAAGTGTTGACCAAAAACACGCCTCCGAAGGGCTGTCTGTAAACCCGTTATGTTGGGTTTAATCCACTTGTTGTGACAGCATTCAGTGAAATGACAATAAATTTTAGGCGCCAAAAAGCTGCCGAAAAGGAGAGCGCCAACTCCAACTAAACCTTCAATAAGTACCGCGCTCATCATAGGGACACACAAAATTGTCATCAGCAGCACAACTCTCCCCTTGTTCGCCATATTTCTGCAGAAGTGACGAGCCCTTTAGTTCGCCTGCAGGTTTTCTGAAAAAAAGTTGTGCGTTATTCAGTACAGCAATGGTTATTGGTTAGTCTTAATCGATTGACCAATGACCTTCCTTGTTAGAGTAAATAATGTAAACAAGACGCTACCAGGGGCCCTTTTTCCGGGAACTGAGCGCTTTGTTTGCTTGCAGGTTTTCTAGAAAACTTCCGTGTTATTTAGTACAGCAATTTTCATTGGTTAGTCTCAATCAATTGGCCAATGACCTTCCTTGTTAGAGAAAATAATGTAATCAAGACGCCACCAGAACCGCACGCTTTGTTTGCTTGTAAGTTTTCTAGAAAACTTCCGTGTTGTTTAGTACAGCAATTTTCATTGGTTAGTCTCAATCAGTTGACCAATGACCTTCCTTGTTAGGGTAAGTAATGTATACAAGTCGTTACCGAGGGCCCTTTTTCTAGGAACCGCCCGCTTTGTTTGCTTGCAGTTTTTCTGGAAACTTCCTTGTTATCTAGTACAGCAATTTTCATCGGTTAGTCTTAATCAACTGACCAATTCCCTTCCTTGTTAGAGTAGGTAATGTATTCAAGTCGCTATCAGGGGCCCCTTTTCCGGGAACTGCGCGTCATGTTAACGCACAAACAATTCTTAGAGTCTGAGAGGTAGAGATCATCATTCACTAAATATTTTTGCTGAGACGATGCCTTCAGATAAGGGAATAGAGGACCCTTCTGCAACCACTGCTAAGGAAAGTGAAGCTGTTGACGGTGCCAAAGATGCAAAGGTGGGGGGAGATTACGAAACCAATGAAAGTAATTCATCCCCTCAGCAATCAATTTGCGGAGTGAATTCTGGAGGGGAAGACACACTTGCTCATAAACTTATTAAAAAAGCACAGTATGTGTGGAAATATCTTTTTAACCCTAACCCAGAAGGTGGCGAAAGCGATCAGGCTGCTGACGGCTCTCCGCAAGAAGAGTCCGATAAGCAACAATTAGATACTGAGGGACAGCCAGAAACATTTATCAACACCTTGCTTCGTTACATGAAGCCCCTTGTGGGAATTTTCCTCTTCGTTGCAGTTGCGATTGCAGCTATCTACTTTGGTACTTTTAGGAGCGACGTAGACCTGGAGAGTGTCTTCGGGAATGGGCTTAAAGAGTTACAGTTGTCATTCAATAATCAGACCGACCGGTTCTGGAAGATTTTAGAAAATCGCAGACTGGCTCATCTACGGAGTAAGGATCCCTCACAACCACTGGTGTTTTTACTGGCTGCACCTCCGGCAGCACATGAATGGGTGGATTGCCTGGCAATTAAACTAGCACTACTGCTGGATCCAAGACCTAAAGAAACTCTGGCCAGAATTCATGGTGAAGAAGAGAAAGCAAATCCTCCAGAACAGACCAAAATGACGATGGACAATTTGCTGAAGAAAGAAATTGAGGCTCTTCACAAGGTAGTGATTATCCATCACCTTGAGCTTCTCCCGCCACCCTCACAACTTCTGTTTCACTCTTATTGTGATGATCAAAATGCACCATATAAAGACCTGGCCTTTATTTTTACGGTACATATGCCAGTAGAGACCAGCCCATCTCTGTCTCCTAAAGAAGCGGAGGGAAGTGTGGAGAAATATCTTTCAGGTGATGTTTGGGCAAAGGATGATAAGGATGCAATTGCTGCTCTCCTGGTCCGCATTGCTGACACTGTGGTGCTCATGAATGGCGAAACTAGTGGTTCAGCAAGGGACTTTTGTTCTTAATCCACTCACTGTTAGCAGTGATTGGCAGGATGAGTTAGTGAATCATCGTTACTCTGTCAGACATGTAGGATTTAACAGAATGTAGCAAATTTAGAGTTTAGTCAACCAGGGGATGTTGTCTTGATTGTGCTCTTAATTTTCCAGGGGAGTAGCCAACAAAAAATAGTAAGGTTTTCAGGCAGGGGAATTAGAATTTAGATCAAGAGTGTGAAAGGAGTAGAATTTGTAAGCTGAGGTCAAATATGTAACAGTTGATTGGTTCCTTTTCATAATGTGAAATATGGACTTGCTTGACTACTTTGGTTTGTTTTCTGTAGAATGTCACGAAACTAGAACTAATGTCTATTCACAGAATACAGAGGATGGCTTACAATGCTTGCATTTGAACAACTTAATTTGTATTTTTATTTGTTGGCCAAAGCTAGACCTTTCATAAACATGTAAATGTTGGGCTGTGTGGCAAACTAAAGATAGTCCAAGAGAGTTGTTATATTTGGTTAAGATTGTGCCATTCACCTTCCTTCAAACCCAATGAAACTGCTAAGTGTTCACAACAACTTGATGTTTTCAAGGGAACATTTTTGGGTCTAACCACTCGTACTTTTGGGATACTAATTTTCGTTTGAAAACATTTTAACAACATGTTGGTGGGTGACCTAGTTTTCTGTTCTAGGTTTAGTTTTAGAGCTTAAAGGTAAAGATAATAATTACTTATCTGGCAGTTAAATATTATCCTGACCTTTGGAATGATGTGCTGTACTTCACAAAAGCAAATTTGTCTCTCGGATCTGTCTTTAAATTTTTAGTAATGGAATACATGCCTTGATTTTTTTTTTCACTGTTCACCCTCATTTCCACTACAGTTCAATGGCCATGTTTATTAGAGCAGAGCTCAATAGCCATTTCTATCAGAGCCCAGTTCAACAGTCATTTTTATTAGAATCCAGCTCAATAGCCATTTTTTTAAGAGTCCTCAGGTATTATGATGATTTCGAATCAGGTAATCTAAATTTATGAAAGTTTTGTTCAGGAAACTTTTTGGAGTGTTGAGTTCAGCCTTTATTTACACCCTCCCTTAAGTAATTGTTTCTAGTAATTCTCCATTGACCATTAGGCCAGTTTTTAATAAGTCAGTTGTATGCTGGTAGTCATTCAGCTTTTTCCTCTTTTTGACATTCTTTAGCTGATGCTCTTGCGCATGAACTCGGACACTAGGGTCCGATTTTGATCAGAAGTATCAAATTTGGAAAACATATGTCTGACTTTGGAAATGTTTCTTATTTTGGACGCTGGTCCCCCATTTTAGATGTTTGTGTCTGATTTTAGACGCTGATGTCTGTTTATGAACAGTTGTGTTATATTTTAGACAGAAGAGTCTGATTTTGGACACAAGTGTTCAATTTTGGAGACTAGTGTTAGATTTTAGACAATAGTGTCCAATTTCAGACACTAGTGTCCAATTTCAGACACTAGTGTCCAATTTCTAGTGTTTTTTTTGGAATCTGTGACTGGGTGTCCTTTTTTCTCTAAATCGGCTTTAGCACACTTTTTAACGTGAGATCTCTCCATCGGCATAAATGGAATAAAGTAATCTATGAGATTTTTATCAATTAGACAGAGCAAAATTTTAAAGTTTAGGGATGTTTGTGCACATATATTGTTTAAAAATAGATAAAATGTGGCGGATTTGTATTTTGAAAATGTCATAAACTGAACAAGTTTCAAACGAGTGAGAAAAATTTGAAAAGATCTTATTCAAATAGGAAATGCGTGTATTTAAACTTGTGCTTAATGAAATTAATATTTCCAGTTTAATGTTACCTTTAGGACTCCCTTTCAAAATTTTCACAAATTTTATGGATGTCCAGTGGCAATTGTCTTTAAATAAGTGCTGGTTAAGATCTTTTACTGATGAGGTTTAAAAGGCTTTTTCTATTTTCTTTTGCCCAGCATGTTTTATGGAAAATTAAATTAAGGGCTGTTGAATTAGGTTCTGTTTCCCAGACATCAACCTAAATGTCACAGAAATCAATTGCTATACAGTAGTACAGTGTATGCACTCTCTACCCAGGCTCTCAATAGGCAGCCCCCTTCCCAAAAAAAATCTTAAATAAAGCTTTCTAAGTTAAAGTGTTTTTAAGCAAGGTTAGTTAAGAGCATTGGTACAAATATAAATCCTCCCTTCCCTCCCCTCCCTCACAAAGTAAAATTGGAGCCAGTTGGCAAACTAGGTCTGAGTAACCGTTAACCATGAAGAATGAAAGAACTGATGATAATTACTCACATGCTGTATGACAGGTTAACTACAGGCAACAACTGGTCAAATACAAAATAATTAATGTTTATACTTTGTAAATACTCTAGATCAAAGTAATACCCAAGGTGGCATAAAGTTACTTTCACACTTTTGATAAACCAAAATTTAAATAAACTTTCTCTCCTCAGTGTGAAATAAAGTACCTACTCATACATGTATGAGGTATTCACTAGACAACGAGTCCTTCCGTCACCATGTTGATTTGAAAGGGACTATACATTTATCTTCTTCATGGAAAGTCAGCTTTGTTTTTCCCGTGTTGTATCCATATATATATATCCCCCCCATAAAGATGAAGTTTTAGTGATGTTGGACAGAGACCAAGTTCATTTTGGGATATCCAGCTTTGAAGAAAATCAAATCGACCTGAACTTGGGTTTTCAGGTACAGGTGTAAGCAAATGTGTTTACTTTTTTCAGATATGAGATAACCCTTGAAAGAGAACAAACAAACAAACATAACACATCCAAAATTCCTTTTATTATAATGAGATCAATTTTAACAAAATGTAAAATTTATCCCATAAATTTTAGATAGTGATCAGTAACACAAGTAATTTCTAAGACGATGCATGTTCAAGAAAAACGAAAACACTGATGTCTTTTTTTTACACTTTTAACATAGCGATCCAAAATACCACCAGAAGAGGGTTCTTTAGACTACCTGTAGCAGGACTACTACTAACACTATATCAACATCTTTCATACTCAAATGAAGTTACACAAGAAAGTCTACTGATCTCACTATCAAGCACTGATACCTAGCATGGGCAATCTCCAGGGACTCAAGACACAGCTATCTCTTGTGCGACAGAATCAAGAATTTTGCAAATGACTGTCACGTCTCAATGAAAGATTAGTAGATCCAAGTAGATCTCTCTTAAAACAAACATGCTATGACCGTGTTAGGTTTCTAGATAAAGAAAGGAAATATGCCAATACAGTTCCCATTCTTACATTTGCAGTACATCTTGTCATTTCTTACTGTTGATTCACCGAAAGGTGACAAATTAAGGCGCAAAATTTTGAAATACAAGTCAAAAGTTAAGGCAAGAATGTCGCCTTTCCTGCCTTTTAATCATTGCTTTCAGCAAAACTTTTATTTTGATCAGAAACAACATGGCACAGGAGAGCCTGATTTGGGACTTGGAGATATTTGGCATAATATAATCTCATAATTAGAAAGAGAAAAATCAATCAGCTCCTTCAGTAACTCCAGAAAAGCTGACATTTCAAGTATCTACCCTCACCCTTATTGATCAGCTGCTAAGAGAGCAAGCAAGATTGAAATTCCTGATTAACTCAGTTGCTTAAGTTCTAAATTTCTCTTCATTAATTTCATGTCTCTTGTCAACCAAGTATTGCTGTTACTCTCTAAAGCAGTATAAAACTTTCTTTACAAACTAAACTTCCGTTAATATTCCATTTTGCTCCTAGGGCACTTATTTTTGTTTGGTTCCCCAAGGGAGGGTGCATATCTAAAACAGGGTGCCCATTTCCTCTTTACAGAAATCACAAAATGAGTGTGAAATAAAGCTTTGATGGTTACTTGGAAAGAATCAATCAATGGAAAATGGAGGTGCTGGCCCTGAATCCTTCTTGGCCTGAACGACCATCCAGGCAATCATCACAAAATTTTAGGAAAAAATCATTGTTGAGGGAACTTTGCACTCAGGTGAACGTAATGGTTGAGATACTGAAACAAAGACCGCTGTTTTTGTAATGAGGCTCTATGTGAGCAGTTGAAAAAAAAACCCCATGGTTGATCTCAGTGTACATGCTCTCTGCAGTGCTATCACCGAAACAGAAGAGGGGTACTTATTGGTATAGGAATGCCCATTGGAATGAGAGGGATTATTCAATATAGGCGCTTGTTAACACAAACAAATTAGACTAGAGGCTTATTGGAGAGGAGGCACTAATTGGAACAAGGGCAGTAAATCCATTTACACTAGGTCTTCAATATCTTGTCCTTTCTGAGAAACCTATTCTCTCTATCATATATATATCTCCCATTTCTAAAACTAAGTTTGAAAGGCTGACTCACATCAACTGGAAAGTCACTCCCGTACGTCTACGTGACAAGCTTTTACTATTTCTTTAAAAACCAGTTTCTTTTAATTGTCCACACATTATGTACGCCTATAACTTCCAATTTTTTTAACTTCCTCACCCCGTCACATAGTCAACTTTACTTGAGATTTTCTTACAAGCAGACAGAGAAATGACCTTCAGATCTTTTGGAACATATAACTATTCATCTGCTACTCTGTTTAGGATGGAATCTGTGACTGGGTGTCCTTTCTTCTCTAAATCGGCTTTATCACACTTTTTAACGTGAGATCTCTCCATCGGCATAAATGGATTAAAGTAATCAATGAGATTTTTATCAATTAGAGAGGAATGCCAAAATTCACCATAATTATTAAATTCACGGAGATTGATATCCTCTCGTTTCTTTCCGTGTTTCCAGTGGTTTAAAACAGCATTGCAATTGTTTATAAGGTGACCAAGGAATATGAAGATACTTTGCCGGTAATCGATCCTGCCGACATCAGGAGGGTAGTAATCTAAGTAGTGTTCAACAAATTGTCACGAGCAGCACAAGTCTCCCCTTGTTCTCTATATTTCTGCAGTAGTGACGTGCGCTTAAATGTCCTTTCAGGTTTTCTCGTAAACTTCCGTGTTATTTAGTACCGCAACTTTCATTGGTTAGTCTCAATCTATTGACCAATGACCTTCCTTCTTAAAGTAAATAATTTATACAAGTCGTTACCTAGGGCTCTTTTTCCGAGAAACGCAGGCTTTGTTAACGCACAAAAAATTCTTAGAACCTGAGAGTTTTAGATCATCATTCGCTTAATATTTTGCTAAGACGATGTCTTCTGAAGAGGATGGAGATAAACCTGTGGGAGAAGGGGAAACTTTTGAAACCTCTACTGAGAAAAGTAGAGCTGAAGGTGACGATGGTAAAGGTGCAAACGAACGTAAGAAGGACACAGAGGAAGGTAAAAAAACGCAGGAACGTAATACACTCGTACACGCCATTCTATTTACTGGTGCAATTCTATGTATTGGTGTAGCTATCTACTTTGCTCGTCCTAAGAACGAAATAAAGGCTGACTTTGACCTGGTGAGAGTCTTTAGAAATGGGCTTGAAAATTTACAGACCCCATTCGCTAATCAGACCCACCGGTTCTGGAAGATTTTAAGAAGTCGCGGATTGGCTCATCTACAGAGTAAGGATCCCTTACAACCACTGGTGTTCTTACTGGCTGCACCTCCAGCAGCACATGAATGCGTGGATTGCCTGGCCATTAAACTAGCAAATATGCTGGATCCAAGACATAAAGATACTTTGGCTAGATTTTGTGGCGAAGAAGAGAAAGCAAATCCTCCAGAAAAGACTAAAATAAGAATGGACAATTTCCTGAAGAAAAAAATTGAGGCTCTTCACAGGGTAGTGCTCATCCATCACCTTGAGCTTCTTCCGCCACCCTCACCACATCTTTTTCACTCTTATTGTGATGATCAAAACGCACCATATAAGCACTTGGCCATTATTTTTACGGTACATATGCCAGTAGAGCCCAACTCATCTCTGTCTCCTAAACAAGCAGAGGAAAGTGTAAAGAAATATCTTTCAGGTGATGTTTGGGCAAAGGATGATGTGGGTGAAGTTGCTGCTCTCCTGGTCCGCGTTGCTTATACCGTGGTTCTTATGAATGGTGAAAGTAGTGGTTCAGCAAGGGACTTCTGTTCTGAATCAACTAACTGTTAGCAGGGATTGGTAGGATGAGTTAGTGAATTACTGTTACTCTGTCAGACACAGGATTTAACAGAATGTAGCAAATTTAGAGTTTAGTCAACCAGGGGATGTTGTCTTGATTGAGCACTTAATTTTCAGGAGAAACCAATAGAAAATGTAAGATTTTCAGGCAGGAGAATTATAATTTAGATCTAGAGTGTGAAAGGAGTATAATTTGTATGCTGAGGTCAAATAGGTAACAACTGATTGCTTCCTTTTCATAATGGAAAATATGGACTTTCCAGGCTACTTTGGTTTGTTTCTGTAGAATGTCACAAAATAAGAACTATTGACTATTCACAGAATGAAATAGATGGTCAACAATGCATGCAATTTAACATCTTAATTAACGTTTTTGTCTGTCAAAGCTAGAGCTTTCATACACATGTTAATTTTAGGCTGGCAAACTAAAGGTAGTCCAAAAGACTTGTCAAATTTGATTAAGATTGTGCCATTCATCTTCAAACCCAGGGAAACTGCTAAGTGTTCACAACAACTTGATGTCAATAAGGGAACACTTTTGGGTCTAAAACTTTTTGGGATACTGTAGAGATTAGTGCTTGATTTAAGACACTAGTGTTCCATGTAGATACTAGGATTCAATTGTTGACATTGGTGTCTGATTTTAGGCATTAATGTCCAATTTGAGATATTAGTGTCTAATTTAGACAGTAATATTCAATTAAGATACTAGTGTTCAATCTACACACACATCTGATTTCAGTCACTGTTGTCCTGGTGTAAGATTCATCTAATTTAGGGCACTACTAGTCAATCTTACACACTAGTGTCCAATTTTAGGTGGTGTTCGATTTTAAACAGTAATGTCCAGTGTCAGATAGTGACCAATTTTGGACACAAGCTTGGTTTTAGGCACAACCATTTTATTTCCCAACAGAGCTAAGTTATTCTTCTATTAATCCTGGGTGACTTTTTTTAACTCTTAGTCCATCTTACCATCTGAATGGTTATTTTCTGTTAAGATTTTTTCATAGATAAGTGATATTCAGCATTCATGTTTTCTGACCAGGGTTTCATAATTTTTGTCAGGTCCTGTATCCATTGACTGCCAGGCACTAAAGACTTCTGGAATACAAAACCCTCTGATGAGAGTTTCACTCTCTACAAGTGTTTAATAACTCTAACTACTGGTATATCTGTATTTAAGATTTGTGTATTTAGCCTTTTATTTTGTCTGTATGGTTAGCCAGGATATTGAATTCAACTAAAGAAAGTTGTTTGTACCAGTATAAAATGATCCAAATATATTCCTGTCTGAAAAATTCATATAAGACATCCTTGAATGGAATGTAATCCAACAGAGTTCATTGAAGAAAGAAAATACATTTACAATACAGAATAAATATCAGTAACCACACAATGAACATTTTACTTATCTTAAGCTGGTTAAGAAACAATGTGAACTACTTACTTTCACTATAATTTACTGACACAGCAAAATTTTTAAAGTAGGGTTGATTGTAAGCATATATTGCCCAAAAATTGATATGATGTTGCACATTTGTATTTAAACGAGTGAGGAAAACTTTGACAAATTCTATTCAAATGGGAAATATATCTATTTAAACTCACTGTCAATTAAATTATTATCTGTAGTTTACTGTCGTCCAAGACTTCCTTTCTCATTTTTCACAAATTTTATGAATGTCCAGAAGCACTTGTCTATAAATAAGTGCTGGTTAATATCTTTTACTGATATGAAGATGTGTCCTTCATAATTTATTACAGAACCTTCTGGAAAATGTTGATCAATTGGAAAGCAAGGTTAAAAGGCTTTTTTTTCCCTTTAGGCAATAAGCAGCCCCTTCTAAAAAAAATCTTCTTTTATAAAGTTTCCCAAGTTAAAATGTTTTAAGCAGGGTTAGTGGTGTTCGTTACTGTGAAGATCACTTTCATATTCACAACTTTATCCACAGTTCAAATATATGACTCATATAATCACAGCCATATAAAGGTACTCTTATGCCTTTTTTATAACCCAAAATTTGAAATAACTTTCCCACCTAGGTGTGAAATGAAGTACCTTATACATGTATGAGGTGTTCACTAGGAAACAAGTCTTTCTTTCACCATGTTGATGTAAAAGGATACATTTTGGCCACATTATTTTGCTACCATGTCCAAGCCCTATGATAACCCTTGCAAGATAACAAAATAACTCACCCTACATTCCTAAAATAAAAATGATATCAATTTTAACAAAATACAGAGTTTATCCTACTAATTTTGGCAAGTGATCAGTGACACAAGAAATTTCTTATGACAATGCATGTTCAAGATAAACAAAAAATTACTGATTTATTTTTGACACTTTTTCAATACGAATTTGAAATACTTCCAGAAGAGCGTTCTTCAGACTACCAGTAGTAAGAATACTACTAAAACTATATCAACATCTCTCATACTCAAATAAAATTACATATGAAAATCTCCTGATCTCCCTGAGCACTGACACCTAGCGTTGGTAATCTGCAGGTACTCAAGACACAAGTATCTCTTATGTGACAGAATCAAGAATTTTGCAAATTACTGTCATGTCTCATTGAAAAATTAGTAGATTTAGGTAGCTCCCTCGTAGAAGAAACATGCTAAAACAGTGCTAGGTTCCTAGGAAAAAAAAGAAGATCAAAGGGCTCTCGGAACCAGCTCATTCGTGTCATGAATGTGACGCTACGGAAGTTGTGAGATGACATGTTATCACGTATCAGACGAAAAAACAGTATAAATTCTCAGTCTGCATTTTGTACCCAGTCTGCAGTCTGCATTTTGTACCTAGTCTGCATTTTGTACCCGGTCTCCAGTCTGCAGTCTGCATTTTGTACTGACCGGATTGGTATTCATGTTTTTTTTCGAGCGAGCCTCAATTAGTCTGGACCGAAATAATGCAGCTCGAAAAAGATTTTAGTGAGACTATCTTGACCGCTATGACTGATATGTGGACTGTATGTTGAAGAGTTCCCGAGGACAAGTCCAATGATAGAGCAATGATTACTTTATATCAACTGAAGACGAACGCAAATGCGCGGTTTACCAATAGGGCTGCCTCTACTTCACAGCGTGTATTAAAATGGACCCACTACGGGTCCCCCTTGGTGTAAATATTTCGGCTTCTCGATTCAAGTTGCATATTTTAAAGTTAGGAAATGTGTTTTGAGTTTATCATTTCTATTAAACCATACAAACATTTTATTTCTTTCCACGTGAGTTTCTGAGCTTCATCGAAATTAATTTTGACTTTCACTAAGTGGGGAGGGGTAGCAGGCGAAACTACTTCCGGTTATTGTCCACAATGCAACTTCCGTCTACGGAATACAACTTCCGTCCACGGTCGACAACTTCCGTCAACATCTGCTTCACCACAATACTTCATTCAATGCTTCCAGCATGAATGAGCTAAAAATGTATCAGTACAGTTTCCATTCTTAGATTTGCAATACATCTTATTATCTCTTGGTGTTGATTCACACAAAGGACACATTAAAATGCACAATTTAAAATTAAGATTTGGAGATATTTGAAAAATTTCGGTAAAATTTCGGTAAACTTTAAGAAAACAAGTTGCATCATCTTTAAATTGAGACAGAAGAAACTTGGTAAATCTTTTACCCTATGCTTTGGAAATCAAACATTGAAACAAGTAAATGAAACAAAATTCTTAGATGTTTATATTGCCAAATACTATTTATCATCTAAGACTAACCTTACTCTGTAGTACGCTTTAATTTACCCATATATCACTCACTGTAATTCAACCTGGTTGTCCATACATTGCACTAACTGAAATAGGATTTTTTATTTACAAAAACGTGCTGTGCGAGTGATTACCACCTCAGACTATTGAGAAGACACTGCCCCCATATTTGCTAAATTGGGATATTTCCAAGTCAACGCATTGCAAATAGCTAAATCTATGTTTTATTATCACAGTCAACTACTGTCCCTGATGTTTCTCAGCTTGTTCCTTGCAAATAGGCAAGTACACAGTTATTAAACAAGAATAGCCAATTTCTGTCGACCATGTAAGTTTTGTACTAATCTTAAACAATTTACAATACTCTACCAAGGTCCTAAAATTTGGAATTCTCTCCCAATATTGATCACTAGTTTGACTAGAATTTTTACTTTTAAAAGAAAGATGGTTGATTTTTTAATGAAATGAAACCAAATTGGCCAAGCCGCACATCCACAACTTAATTACAAACATATTGACAACCGAGGTGGCCTCCCCTATAAGCTTGGTGGTTTCTTGGAGGTCTCCTTGCCCTAACCTACTGTTAAAACCTGTATAAATATTATATCTTTAGTGGCTAATAAATGATGATGATGATAAAAATTGAAGAGTTAACAGTAACTCAAGAAAAGCTGACATTTTAATTATCAGCCCTCACCCTTGTTAACCTGAGAGAGCAAGTAAGATTGAACAGCCTGATTTCTTTAGTTGCTTAACTTCTATATTTCCCTTCATTAACATCATGTCTCTCATCAACTAAGTATTTTTGTTACCCTCTTAAGCAGTTTAAAACTTTGCTTAGAAACCAAACTACCATAAAGATTTGATTTAGTGCTCAGGGCACTTTTTTTACTTTTGGTTCCCCCAAGGACGGTGCTTCTTCAAAACAGGGTGCTAATTGAATTGGCTTATTTAAAAGAATCAATACAAATGGGAAATGGAGGTGTTGCCCCTGAATCCTTCTTAGTAAGAAAAACCAGAAGAGGAGTGCATATTGGTATAGGGGCACTTATTGGAATGAGAGTGCTTATTGAATGGGGGCACTTATTAACAAAAATCAGAGGGGGTTGCTTATTGGAGAGGGGAAGCTGATGAGAAGGAGGGCAGTAAATCAAATTACAGTGGGTCATCATTCTCTTGTTCTCTTTCAGATATCTATTCTTTCTATCAGATAATTGTCTTCTTTACATCTAAATATACTTCCAACTCCTCCATCTCCACCATCTGCTAAACTTACCCCACCCCACCCATTTCTAATACTAAGTTTGAAAGGCTGACTCATTCTAACTAGAAAGTCACTGCTGTAGGTTTGTGACAAGCTTTTGCTAATTCTTCAAAAACCAGTTTCTATAAATTGTGTTTATACTGAGTCAGCCTGACCTGTTCCCAACAACTGGTATCTCCGAAGTGCAAAGTTTTCAAAATTCCTCACCCATCACATAGTCAACTTTGCCTGAAATAATCTTACAGCCAGACAGAGAAAAGACCTCTAGATCTTCAGGAAAGTATGACATTTCACCTGCTACACTGTTTAAGATGAAATCTGTGACTGGGTGTCCTTTCTCCTCTAAATCGGCTTTAGCACACATTTTAACGTGAGATCTCTCCATCGGCAAAAAAGGAATAACGTGATCTATCACAGATCTATCAATTAGAGAGGAATGCCAAAATCCACCCTCGTTATAAAATTCTTTGAGATTGATAGCTTTTTCCAAATCTTTGAGCTTGATATCTTCTCGTTTCTTTCCGTCTTTCCAGTGTTTTAGAACAGCATTGTTGATAAGATCACCCCCCGTATTGCTAAGGAATATGAAGATACTTTGACGGTAATCGATCTCGCCTTCATCAGGAGGGTGGTAATCTAAGTAGGGTTTAAGCACATCTATGAGGCCTTTTGGCATTTTGTGCATTTCGTCAAAGATAAACAGCGATCTGGGGCACTCTCTTACAGAATATTTCACTCGTTTGCGCAGTTCTTCCTTGTAAATGTCTACTTTGTTCTGATGAGGGAATTCATGGGTAGCCATGATCAGATGAACATAATCACTCTCCCATCCCTTCTTGAAGATATTTTCGGCAATGATTTTGCTCACAAAGTTCTTTCCTGATCCTGTCCAGCCATTGAAAGAAATCGCTAACGCTTTCTTAGGCGACTTATTGTTTAAATGTGCAACAAGAACCTTTAGAACGGTCTGAGTGACGAGGTGCTGACCAAAAACGCGCCTGCGAAGGGCTGACTGTAAACCCGTTATATTGGGCTTAATCCACTTGTTCTTACAGCATTCAGTGAAATGACAATAAATTTTAGGCCCGAAATAACCACCTACAAGAAAAGCACCTCCAACAATACCTTCAATGAGTATCGCGCTTATCATAGGTGTACAAAACATTGTCATCAGCAGCACAAGTCTCCTACTGTTCTTCATATTCCTGCAGAGTTGACGAGCGCTTTCGTGGGTTTGCAGTGTTTCCGAGAGAACTTCTGTACTATTTAGTACAGCGATTTTCATTGGTTAGTCTTACTCACTTGACCAATGATCTTCCTTGTTAGAGTACATAATTTGTACAAGTCGGAAGCAGGGTTTTTTTCCGGGAACTGCGCGCTTTGTTAACGTACAATCAATTCAGAAAACCTAGGAGTTTGATATCATTATTCACTTAATACCGGTATTTTTGCTGAAACGATGTCTTCCGAAGAGGTTGGAGATAACCCTGAGGGAGGTAAAAAAACGCAGGAACGTAATACATTCGATGCGAAAGTAATTGGCGGAGGCAATTATAGAGGGAAAAAAACGCCTGCTCGTGAATCTGTAAAGACAGCGCCAGATAAGCGGGAATTAACAATCCCTTACATAATAGATGACAAAGGCGACCAGATACTTGCTGGCGAATCTCCGAAAAAAGGGTTGAAATCAGGTCCTGAGAGAGAGCGCAACTTAACCACAGACCGACCGGTTCTGGAAGATTTTAAGAATTCGCGGATTGGTTCATCTACGGAATAAGAATCCCTCGCAACCGCTGGTGTTCTTATTGGCTGCACCTCCAGCAGCACATGAATGCGTGGATTGTCTGGCCATGAAACTGCTGAAATGCTGGATCCAAGACATAAAACACTTTGGCTAGATTTAATGGTGAAAAAGAGAAAGCAAATCCTCCACAAGAGACCAAAATAAGGATGGACAATTTCCTGAAGGAAAAAATTGTGGCTCTTCACAGGGTAGTCCTCATCCATCACTTTGAGCTTATCCCACCACCCTCACAATTTCTGTTTCACTCTTATTGTGGTGGTAAAAATGCACCATATAAGTATTTGGCCATTATTTTTGCTGTACATCTGCCAGTAGAGTCCAGCAAATCTCTGTCTCCTAAACAAGCAGGGGAAAGTGTTAAGAAATATCTTTCAGGTAATGTTTGGGCAAAGGATGATAAGAGTGCAGTCGCTTCCCTCCTCGTCCATGTTGCTGAACTGACACGTGGTGCTCATGAAAGGCGAAACTAGTGGTTCAGCAACGGCCTTTTGTTCTGAATCCCCTAACCGTTAGCAGTGATTGGCAGGCTGAGTTAGTGCGGAATTATCTTTACTCTGTCAGACATGTAGGATTTAACAGAATGTGGGAAACATAGAGTTTAGTGAACCAGGGGATGTTGTCTTCATGGAGCACTTAATTCTCAGGAGTAGCCAACAAAAATATAATGTTTTCAGGCAGGAGAATTAGAATTTAGATCTAGAGTGTGAAAGGAGTGTTATTTGTCAACTGAGGTTGAATATGTAACAATTGATTGCTTCCTTTTCATAATGGAAAACATGGACTTGCCTGGCTACTTCCATTTGATTTCAGTTAAATGTTGCAAAATAAGAACTATTGACTATAAACAAAATACAGTGGATGGTTTACAATGCGGCAATTCAACAACTCAATTAGCATTTTTATGTGTTGGTCAAAGCTAGAGTTTTCATATACATGTAAATGTTAGGCTATGTGGCAAACTAAAGGTAGTCCAAAATACTTGTTAAATTTTATTAAGATTGTGTCATTCACCTTCTTTCAAACCCAGTGAAACTGCTAATTGTTTACAACAACTTGGTATCATCAAGGGAACATTTTTGGGTCTAAAAATTTGTGGTTTTGGGATATTTATTTAAATTTAAGAAAATTTGAACAAGAAATTTGTAGGTGACCTAGTTTTATGTACTAGGTTTAGTTTTAGGGCTTAAAGTTAAAGATAATAATTGCTTCTCTGGCAGTGAAATATTATTCTGACCTTGAAATGATATACCATAGTTCACAAAAGCAAACTCATCTCTTTGATCTGTCTTTTAATTTTTAGAAATGGATTTCATCCTACAACCATTTTTTAAGATCAGCTGTATAGTTATTCAGCTGTTTCCTATTTTTAATATTCTTTGGCTGGTGTCCTTTTGCAAGTCAATATAAAATATGTTTTACTTTGATTTTACCAGGTTTATTTTTCCTTCATTGTTTGATATTCTTTTCGAAATATTTTCAAATTCTTATCTCCGTCAACAATGGATCCCTTGAAGGAAGGGGAACAAGATTGATAACTGTTTGACTAGAATTTGATTTAACTAAGGATATACCATCAAAATATGTTCTCCACAGTTGTTTGATATAATTGTATTTTGCACTAGTCAAATGCCATTCTTTGCATATGGAAGAAGTCTGGCCAAGCATTAATGTACAAGTACAAGTGTCTGATTTTAAACTAGAGGCCAGTTTTAGCCATTTGCATCCATTTAGGGCACTTAAGTCCAATTTTGGATACTAGTGTCCAATTCTAGACACTAGTGTCTGATTAAAATACTTATGTTTAATTCTAGACACCATTGTCTCATTTAAGATAAAAATGTCAGATTTAAGAAACTAACATCAAATTTTAGACATAAGTATCTGATTTTCACACCATCATCTGATTTTATTTACAGGTGTCCAATTGTAGACTTCTAATGTCTTACTTTACTCACTAGTGTCCAATATAAGAAACTAATTTTTGATTATGTTATTAGAGTCTGATTTGGAACACAAGTGTCCAATTTAAGACACTAGCATCCAAATTAGACACAAGTGTCTGACTTAAGACAAAACTGTCTGATTTTAGGTACTAGTGCCCAATTTTAGGCACTTAAATGCTCAATTATGGACATTAGTGCCCAATTAAAGACACTAGTGTTCAATGTAGGTACTAGGACCTGATTTTTGACACTAGCATCGAGTTTTGGACACTGGGAGTCCAATTTTAGGCATTACTGTTCAATTTGAGACATTAGCGTCCATTTTAGACTCTAATGTCCGATTTAGATACTAGTGTCCAATTTAAACACGTCTGATTTCAGTCACTGCTGTCCAATTTTAGACATTGGTGTCTGATTTGAAACAGCTGCAGTGGTCTTTGAGTTACTTAAAAAAAGCCGCTGATTTTCTGTTTTCTTTACAAAGCTTTGAGCACATTTTGAAATGAGTTTGTTTGGAAATCGTCCGGAAAATAAAATTCCAAATCGAATTTTCACGACATGCGTTAACGCTGCATTAAATCAAAAGTGCTATGCAAAAGAGTTGACGGAGTTCATTATCCCTCTTGCTGTGATTTATTGCACATTTTTCCTTACAAGCATGATTTTATTTTAAAAAAAAACATCCAAATTAGCGTTAATTTACAAGGTATCATTTATTTTTCAAATGTTCAATTTCTTAAGACCTAGCTAAAGACGGTGTCTACCAGCACGTTAATAACTCACCATTATCTTGAATTTGTCCTTTTATCCTTGATCGACCAGACGTTTCTTGGATGTTGAAATCTATTGAGCCTTCCAATCTTTTTCTTGACTCTCCCTTTAGTTGGCGATCCTAGTACGGAAGAGATATTTCGTGAATACTTTTGAATGAAACGAGAGTGGCTGGGTTTTAAAGCCAAATGGCTCATAGCTAGGCAGTGCTTCTTCCTGAAATTTGTAGCACCAAGCCAACAGGAGAATGCCACCTTCTCTTGGGTGGGATGATAGTCTATTGAATGTAACCGGCTGCCACTATTTTGCAGTTTTTCTCGGACATTTTGCTGGACTCGAAAAATAGAGAGAAATCGAGTTCATAAATATGCCAGATTCTTCCCGTAAACGACCTCAGAGGTAGCAGTGATAACATTTGTCATCTCTCGTTGACCTTTCAAGGTTTTGCCCTCCCTATATAATATTCCATATCAAACATTCTGTATCTATACGCTGTATAATCTTTGAACTCCTATCTGTATTAAGTTATCGCGTCACGGATGCCTCCAAATAGGGTAAAGTGGATTAAAAATGATGGGATTATGGCTTCATGGTATGAGAAATAGAAGATGTAGGTCAAAGACCATTAGCGGCACTGTTTCAACCCTCTCTTAGATTCTATCAGTCAGTTAATGCAAATTGGGCTCGGAGAGTCCCGCAGTAGTTTCCCTAGAGGGAGACAACACAGATTTCTGTAGGTAAAACTAACCTCGCCGAATAACAGAATGGAATATTATAAACACAACATAATTACCAGAACTTTGAGGAAGGTTTTAATCTTGTGGCATCTACTTGTCCTGGCAAGTCGTCACGTGATTTTAATACGTTTCATTTGCTCTCATCTGTAGTGAAAAAGGACAGTTATGATCAGATACAGGTGACTTTTCAACGGCTAATTATGTAACTTAACACTTATCCCATAATATTTAAAATGATGTTTTAGAATGAGAACAAGGTGTTTGATACAACAAATTGTACGGGACTGGTGTATGTTGACGTATTTAAAGATAGGTTGAAAACAGCTTATCAGTCAAAGTCCATCTAGCCTGTGTACAAGCTTTCATTATTAGAGCAGCAGGACGTGCGCTTCTCCACCCAAAGGAATATTTAAGACAAGGCGCGGAGAAGTTTGCCGGAGGTCTGATACTATTTACCAGTCCCAGACCCCTTGCAGACCTCTCGCCGACTCGCATTACTCAAGGCCTCATACTTTCCCGCGGGCGAAAAAACTCTCTTGCTCAAAGGATAACAATAAGAGCTAACAATAATGATAACAGCTCATGCCGTTCTCTGCAGCGTGAATTGAAAAAGAGTATCGTTACTCCAACGGAGTAAGACGATAGTCTTGTGCAAGTAACCCCCACCCTCCACCCCTCCCCCGCATTTTATCGGATTTCCAAAAATTTGAAAAACTCACTCCGAGATGGAAAAGCACTTATAATACTATTTAAGAAAACCCTGCTTACATAACAATGGCGGAGGTGCCCTAAAACATACCACAAACTTGGAAATCCCCTCTCCCCAACCCCCCCTCTCCTTGAGGATGAACTAAGCCCTCATAAGGTCCACTGTCAGAATGTACGCTTCTCCTTCTTTCCTGCTTTTGAGATGGTAAATAAAGAGAGATCAGATCTTTATTGTCTGATATCAGTCTGCTAAAATCGGCCAGGATAGTCCCAGAACAGTTTCCCTTATTGGGTTAAAGACAAGGGAAATATCTTTATGTACAAAGGGGTAAGTTTCTAAAGAAACTGTGGTGCTGCGTCGGTGGGAGAGTATAGCAGGTAGTTTAGTGTTAACAACTGGGTTGAAAACGTAAATTAGCCACCGTAAAGGGTAAAAAAACTGACGTTTCGAGCGTTAGCCCTTCGTCAGAGCGACGCGACGCGTTAGCCCTTCTGACGAAGGGCTAACGCTCGAAACGTCAGCTTTTTTACCCTTTACGGTGGCTAATTTACTTTTTCAATCCCAGTTTTTAACACTAAATTACCATCTTTATGTACAACTCGTTTTCCAAGATGATAGCAGGGAACGCCAATTACCTGAGCTTTGAGGACGATGGTCATCTTGTGGTGTCTTCTTATCCGAATGATATGTCACGTGATCCAATTTCATTAATTGTTGTCTACGAATGAAAATATTGTGATAATCAGATACAAGTTGATTAAAAACTGCGAATTTACATCCATCCTTGTGTTCACCTTGGTTAATGCATGAGCTGACCTAAGGCATGAAGCCATTGTCTCTATTGATTCGATTCATTTGAAAATTTGGCCATAAAATTTTATTCGTAACCAAAACTGCACACCACCATTCTCGTGCTTAGAAGGGGAGGACATCTTCCAGCTAAAATAATTGGGGTGGGGTGGGGTGGGGTGGGGTGGGGTGGGAGTGGTGATGATACCCTGAAAGAGGTATAACTAAATAATCGAGATATTATTCCCGCTTTGATTTGTCAAAAATACCGCCATGTTTGTAAAGGTAAAAGACTGCACTTTCTATCAATTCGCGGGTGGTGTGATCTCTAGGAAGTCACTTCGCCAGTAAGCTTTTTGAATGTGCAATCTTCTGGTTGAATCACTTTTAATTTGCTATCAAGTAGGGTGTTTTAAACCTAAGTGTAAATCCCTATGAAAGCTATATTCTGGCATAAGCTGGGGCACTAAGTAGGTCAAAAACTACCTTTTTGTAAATTTACTTAGTGCATTTGATGCAATCTATACTGCAATCTACAATGAGCAAATCTTTCATAGGTTAGATTCTAACACACTTGTATTACCTTCGTTCTAATCATGGTTCTTGAACAAAAAAGATTAGTAAAATTCAGAATACTCTTGGAGGTTAGACTATGATGGATAAATTTGCCCCAAAATCTTGCTTGATTTTCAAATTTGAAGCAGAGAAATTTATAATACCACTGGCTGTGTTTTCCACGACAATCAACCGTACACTGAATTAGGGGGAAAGTTTCTAGAGAAACTGTGGTGCTGCGTCGGTGAGAGAGTAATTTAGTGTTAACAACTGAGTTGAAAACGTAAATTGGCCACCGTAAAGAGTCAAAGGCTGACCTTTGGACCGTTAGACCCTCGTCAGAGTGAATTGAATTAACTGAGATTGTTCCTTTCTACCCTTTGCTAAAAGCTGCGGTAAAATTTCCGCACAACCCCATACTACATTATGCATTCAGTTCTTGGATAGAGAAAACAATGACAAAAACAATACATTGCCATTAGGAAAACAGATTTGTTTTACACTAGTATGGGGCTATGCGGAAACTTTACCTATCACAGGATGGAAACAGAATTGTTCGGTAAATACCTGTTGGAAAGGGTTATAACGAGTCCATTTGTCCACTTCTTCGTCGTTGAAATCCACGTGTTCTTGTCCAGGAAAGCGACGCTAAGTTCAACCAAAGCAAAACAACACCAGAATCTTGTTCACCAGCGTACCACTGGACAACCATGACGAACATATGAGTGATGCAAAACATCTACATTATGCAATTTGGCGAACTGATTATTTGTATATTCGGCCATCTTGTCATTTAAATGTCATTTCAAACCCTCGCGAGGTGATAAAAAATGAAGAATAAATTAACATTTATGTTAGATCTGAAATTCAAATGAAGGCAGTTCCTGATATGTTTCAGGACGGAATAAGAAGGCGTTGTTTATTTGACTTAGCCATGATGGAAATAGGGGAAGCGTGAAGCTAAAAACATACAACTTACATGAAGACATTCTGGTCATAAGCAAGAGAGATTTAAAATTCTTCTTCTCATGTTAAAGAACCCATACACTTATCGCAAAGAGTAGGGAACGTAGTCCCCGGTGTTTTGGTCTGCCCTAGAAGAATCCGAGCATGTAAGCCTTGTAGAGAGGGAATGCTCCTAATATGGTGTATATATATATAATTTAAAAAGTTTGCAAAAAACCATGGCGACATCAAATTTTCTCACTTTACACAGAAAGGTTGACAGCTGTAATCTTAGCTGAGAGAAGCAGAACCGATGCCTAAATTGTTGAAATGCATTAACTGTATTCAAGGAAAGCCCTCTTTAACACCACAAACAGCAATTAATGGACTACAACAATGTGTTTTTTTTATACACGATTTAACTTTGTAAAAGAGTTTTAATTTCTAACTCAAGCTTTAACATTCTTGTGCCCAGGCTTAGCGCTTCGACACCTGTATGATGTCAAGAAGTGACGACACAAACACGTTACCATGCAACTAGTCATAAACAAATCGAAACTTTGTTTCACCACAAGAGCTCGGTTCTTATTGAAGCAAAGTGAAGAGAATGGATTTTTCGTATTTATCGAATGGTCCTAGTGAAGATGTCAAATACAAAATGAACAAAAACATCTCAGGTGACGAGGAGTCCGTGGAAAAATCCTTTTCTGCGAGAATATTTGAGAAAGAAGTTAGTGTAACGAATCGTTCTGCTGAGTATTATAATAAGCCTCTGCAGGTTTCACATGGGGCACAGATCATGGCCAATGAGGTGGGCGTTTCCCAATCATTAGGAATTTAATTTCTTTTAAGTCATACGTTTAATGCATTTAAGTTAGAATTTGTTATCGAAAGGGCATGAAGAAAAAAGCTTTTTTAAGTGATGGCAAGAAGACTTGATTCATTCTATAAGCCGTGAAATCGGTCGTAGATTGTTCAGTTCGAATCATAACTAGGCTTCGTCCAAACTTAGCTCAGTTTTAAGCTTGGTCAACTCTTAAGAAATATTTAAACCAATTGGAAGTTTTTTTTGCAGGAAAGATGTTTAGGTAACCAGGTTGAAAAATTTCCTCGTAAAGAGATGAAAAAGCGCGCGCAACTAAAATTCTTAGATTTTGACGTCACTCTTTGACATTCCTCTATCTTTCCGCTGTAAGTTAATTATGTGTTATGTCCTCAACTTTGATGATTTTGACAGTTTTGTTGTGTCCCTAATGGCACAATTTCTTTCAGTTTGCGAGAGAGAAGGAACAACTTACGCAAAAGATCGCTTACCTTGAAACAGAGATTAACGGTTAGTACCATGAAGTGACGCATGCGAGATAACAGAGGCACGTGTGTGGACTTAAGACATTAAACTGTGGAGGGGCCGAGGTTTAACTGTATGTCCATGACAAAAGGTCCTTACACCCCCTCCCCTCTCCCCCTATTTATTGTTCCGTCATGAACAGTTCAGTTTTTTATAGTTCCCGATTTGACCCACTGATTCAAAACTGTAATTTCACTCATCTTTATTTCAAGTATCTGTGATATTTATTTGCATTTTACCAGCTAAGGAAAAGGAGATCGCCATCCTTCAGCAAACTCTCTCTGGTAGAGACAAAAAGATTACTGATCTCAAAGAAAAACTGTCCCAACTACAAAAAAATGGGCAAAGAAATAATTTTGATTTTGCCGAACAAATGGCAACAATGGATAAAAAGCTACAGGAGGCAAAGAAGAACATTGCCGAGTTCGAGGCTGGTGTAATTTTCAATGTCATGAAGAATGAAATGGAAGCAAAAGAATCCCAGAGCGAGCCCAAGGCATTTAATGGTGAGTATACAAGGCGCGATGGCGACCACGCAGTTAATACGACCGACTTGTCTTCATGAACTCAAATTATGTTCCAGGTATGCATCCAATAATAAAGATGGGGAAAGAACGAGGGTCTGCATCACCTTTAACTAATGATAAATCGTTGCTTTAAAAGGCCAAGGAAGACTAGAAAATGCTTAAAATTGCTGTTCACGCCATCGGCGAAATCATCATTTACCGGCCTGATTTAAAAGTACGTTTCCAATTTCACAAAAGACACAACTTAAAAATGTGATATTCCATCCCCAAGACGAGAACAGGCACTTTACCCTAAAAGCGTTTTAAGATTCTTTTAATAACGGTTGAGAACGTGTTCTTCTATGCACTTGAATTTTCATTTGTTTTGCTTTATTTTTCAACTAGGCAAAGATTACTTTGACCATCAACCATCATGGTTTGATACCCTATTAAACAACGGTGGATATCTTGAAGTGGAAAACTTTCCAGTAACAGCCAAAGAGATTCAAGCTAAGAAGAATGTTAGATCAAATTCAAGGCCCACCACTGAGTCAGCTAAAGGTGTGCAGACGGAAACTTATAAAATAATATTTCACACATTCAACAGACCGCAGCGATAGCAGTGTAGTCTGATGAGTGACAAAACGGTGTGACTCTTAGAATTGATCAGAGAAGTGTTCTTTCACGCAATGTTTGATTTTCATTTATCCTTTTTTTTTTTAACTAGACAAAGATTACTTTGACCATCAACCGTCATGGTTTGACACTCCATCAAAGAACGGTGGATGTCTTAAACTTGAAAACTTTCCAGTGACAGCAAAAGATCTTGATGCGATGAAGAATTTCCAATCAAATTCAAAGCCCTCCACTCCAGCAGCGAAAGGTATGAAGGAAGAAACTTGTAAATTATGAATACTTAACAATCTACATCTGAGCGAAAGCAGCCTTTAGTATAATGAGTAACAAAATAGTAAGACACTTAGAATTGTCAATATGCTCTTCAGCTTTAGTACCTCTGCATAGTACCCTCCTCATTTAGTGGCTATGGAGGAACTAAATGATTTGATGATTGTTAAGCAAAATGAAATTTTAGTGAAAACATATCATCAGTACTCTCTAAAGAGGAAAAATGCAAGGCGATTAAAATTCTAATTTTGCTTTCCTCTGATCTGAAAAAATTAATTCAAGTAAATTTTGATATTTCATTCTCTTTCTTTCCCTTTTTACCCAAGATTGTGGTGAGGCGAAATGTCAACAAACACGTGTCCCCGACGGCAGTTTTGTCCGAGCTGAAATGAAGAAAAACTGTCCACCACCCCAGAGAGAAAATGAATCCAAAAAAATCACCGGTTCTGTTGGTCAGAGGGTCAACCCGTTTTCTAGAAAGGCAAAACCTTTGGATCGACCAGCACAAAGTCCTGTGAATAAGAATGGGAGACCTCAAGTCGAGAAAAGCAGCCTGCAAGTACAACCGAGGAATATCTCCAATTTATCCTTTTCCAGGCAGAAAAATCCGCTTCTCGAGAAGGCTAGGGCTTTGGATCGACCAATAACCGATTGTGCAGCCGCCGACATCAGAGGAACTGAAGTTGTGATCAACACTCTACCAGTTCAGCTCAAAGGTGTTCCATCCAACAGTATCACAGATTCCTCTGGTAACAAGGTGAACCCCTTTTCCAAGAGAGCTAAATTCGTTACAAAACCATCAAACATCCCTGCTGCCAAGTTTGCTCAAACTCAACCTGTGATGATTGATGCTGCATTCAATAATGGAGAGATCAATCCGAGTTCGGAGAAAGCCAGAGGTATGGTTAGTCGAACGTCATTTGATAGATTAAGAGGAGGATTTAATTGTAAAGAGTGAGCTTCCTTATCCAATTCTCAAGGTCATGATTTGCGCGGCAAATCTCGCCCAATTTCACTCAGTTTTGGTTCAGTAAGCTAAACATCCCAGGTATCCTCATATTCAAACGGAATTCCCTATGTCACAGTCACGAATCAAACAGTTCATATTATGATAGCTCTTCAAGAAATGTAGAGGCCTATCTACAACTTAATCTGTGATAGGATGAGGTTTTTAACAAAAATCTTTCTGGATTTTATAGGGAGTCCGTATTCTTTCCATCGCCCATTACCTCCTACTCTGGCGAGCATCGTTCCCAGTGGATCTCAAATAGCTTTCGCTCACCAGCAGATCAAACGACACTCCATTCCTCAAACTGGTAGGTAGCTAAAAATGAAATTCTGCAAACTGTCATAGGCCTGTCATAAACTCCCTGGGGTCAAACTTCGTAAGGGTTTGGGGGGAGGGGGGTTGATACCTTAAAGGTATGACATATATGTGGCATTGTAGAACTCGCTGCGAAACTCGCTCAGAAACAACCGAATTTGGGATATACAACTTCAGTCAGTCTCAATTTTTTTTGTTTTTTCCACAGAACAAGGATTGCTGAAGAGAACTTTTAACAAGTGGTTCGGATCATACTTCTGAAGTGAGTGCATAGCTATTCAGTAAATTAAGTGCGACATACCTGTCAATAATTTGGCATTACCCTGATTGAAGTAATTTACTTTAGTTTGACTTAATACCGTGATATTGACCCTGATATTTTATTCATTCCACAGATCATCTTCAATGCAGATGACTCAACTTTAACTCTTTCTAATTCTTAACAATTTCAAAACCGGGCGTTGTTTGTTATTTTGAGCTTGTTATATGTGATCGTCTTTTGAAAAAAATCTGTGAGCAAATTAATCAAACAACCAAGTCTAAATGGTTATGATTCCAGTTTGATGCTTAGGGTTATGAACTCATTTGTAAATATGTACATAGTATGGTAATATTTGATTATGTTTTGATGAATGTTCACCAAATTCGTCAAAATTGTTCATTTTTTATCCCATAATATACATTAAAGAAGAAATGAGGTATATTTTGAAGAAACAATTCGTTTGACAAAACGTGTGTTTAACTTTGATTAGCGTGGTCTATAATGTACCATGCATTATTTATAAATAAAAAGTACGTAATAACCATGCAAGGTTAGATGAGTGTTGCAGCATTTGTTTAATTTACCTTTCCCCAAAGATTGTAGGTAATTCAGTCCTGGTGATGACTGTGATAACTAAGATAAGTTCCTGTGAACACGGTGTAATCGCTGTTGACCTGACTTGTTTACATTCGGTCAACTCGTTCTTAGACTAAAAAACCAGAGTCACCCACGGTAGAGAAAAACAGCAGAAACAAAAATGGAAATTTCGCGGGGAGGAGTTCCTCGGCCCCCAAGCCAGTTTGAGAGTTACTCCTTGTCCGCAAGCTCCAAATCATACTCGGGGAGAAGTTATTCGGCCCCCAAGCCAGATTGAGAATAACTCCTATAGCGTGATTCGAACTCGCGACCTCGATGACCTCTCTTGCACTCGTTGCGCGCCTACGATTGCCGCTCGACCATCTCGAAACTACATGTTTAATATGTATGAATTGTCGGTGTGGTGAGTTTTAAAATACCAGGTTGGGGGGGAGGGTGAGGAACTTTGTGTTACTGAGAGTGCAATCGAGCGTTTCCGGTCAAGAATAAAAGAAATAAATCATACAAAGACTGACAAAAGCGATCTACACGAGGAATATTAGCATATGTTGTAATGGCGGACGGCTTCATTTGCTGAAGCTCTCTAATATGATTCCTCGGTACTGCATTGCACATCTTTAACTGCGCATAAAAATCACGGAATCATTTAGGCGAATAAGCGCACTTATCGTATTTTAATCCATGGACCAGGTTAAAAGGCTCGATGGTCTTCAGCTCTTGATTGAGAACATTAACCTTTAATTTTGGCGTACAAATTATCCCTTTTACATTGCGGAATCTTATTTGGTCTTTTTGGCTCCAGTGAATCCCTCAATAAAGAAGATAGCAGTCCTTTACAATAACAAAATTTGCATTATCATTAACAAGCTCTTTGAGTTCATGCAAGGATAAAAAGGCGTTCAAGACTTTAACTGAATAAATCTGCAACTTACTGAACTGATGGCTTAAGAGTACCACTATTAAAAAAAAAATGGGTCGATTTGTATTGGAGAGTTATGCCGTACAGAAGCAAAGAGAGGAAGTGGTCGGTAGACTTTTACATTTTTCTCGCAAGTTATTTGAGACCAAAAATGCAAATTTCCTTCGTAAAAGTAACCGTTGTACTTATGTATTTAACCATCTTCCATTTTAAAGCGGGAAGCTCTCTTATATGATTCTTCAGTATTGCAAAAAGTGGTCCGAAAAAGAAAACTGCTCAGAAACGAAAAAAAGGAAAAAAAGAATATGAAAATAATGATAATAAGGAGAAAAAGTAGAAAAAAAAGCGAGAACAAAATGCAATTTCCGCGCGGAGAAGTTCCTCGGCCCCCAGCTCCAAATCATACTCGGGGAGAAGTTTTTCGGCCCCCAAGCCAGATTGAGAATAACCCCTATTGCGCACTCGTTGCGCGCTTACGATTGCCGCTCGATCATCTCGAAACTGTATCTTACAATAGGATAAATTGTCGGTATACTGAGTTTTAAAGTACCAGGTTGGGGGGGTGCGTGTGGAACTTTTTGCGACTGAGAGTGCAATCGAGCGTTTCCGGTCAAGAATAAAGGAAACAAGTCTAACAAAGAACTTAGCGTCTTGATTTAGTTAGCAACACGTACACTCAGTGATAAAGGTGAGCTACTAAAACCATTTGTAGCGGGTTAAGCCATAACAAATCGTAAGGCTGATGCTTGTTAAAACTCTACTTGATCTGAAGAAGCAACATCGGCATAACAAGCAAAAGCAACATTTCAAGTGTTAACAGCGACAGATCTCCTTCAATGATTTTTTTAAAATCTTGCTTCTCATCAGGAGATGATGTTAGGGGTATTTTCTCTTGTTCTATTATCATACGGCTCCGTCCAGTTTTGAAGGGTTTCGTTGCATACGATTTCGGACGATTACCGACACATGACATTTTACATGATTACTGAAAGTTAAGCTTATGTCGGAGATATACTTCAGCGCGGATCCTCACGCAATTACGAGCCTATTTTAGTATTCTTTACATGGTGAATTTCACCGCAGTTTACGATCGGATATCTAAGGTCAGAGTTCGGCAAATAGACGTACTAAGAAAGGGTTTAGCTTCAGCTTGCATTGCATATCGATTTGAAAACTGAAATGAATAATACCGAAGTAACATAGAAGAAAATAAATGGGGGAAAATAGATAACACGGTTGCAAAAACAAAATGATTTCCAATTTGAAACTGTTGAACATGGGCTTAGAGATAAATTCTGTTTGTTCGAATTTTTTAGTTTGATTTTCGTATCATATGAGAAAAATTGTCTCAGGACGAAATGAGATGACGAAGTACTCGCATGACCCACTTATCACACTTCAACAGCATACCCAGGAGGACGGGAGGGCTCAGGGCACCCACAGTTTTTGTTATCAGTTGGTTTAATCGGACCCTTCCATTACCCTCCCCTCGGGATTTCATGTTACCATTAGGACAGCGGTCATCCGCATGAACTTTATTATCGGCGATGACAGTTTCGAAAACTCAGGCCGATATCTTCAGTGACCTTGAGTAACCTTGTGTTTCTTTTGAGGGTAGATCTTCAATATCGAACGAGAATACAGCTCGAGAGATAACGGTTTGTTTGCGTCGGCCATGAATAAGGTAAGCATCAGCAGAGATTGGTCATGTTTGCAACCTCTAGATCTGTATGCGTACCTTGATGTAAACAAAGTCTAAATTCTTACTTCTCTTTGATTGCTGGATTCTGCTGGATGGAGAGACTTCCGCTTAACCCCACTCTATTTTAAAACAAAGCCGTAGTCCCATAGGTAATTTTTTTCCCCATTGCTTTCTTTTTTCAAGGACTGTAGGCATAATAAGGATGGGGTTCGGCGGAAATATTGAGCTTGATTTAGCCAAACTTTAAAGTGGAGTTTTTTTTTCCAACACGATGTTTAATTTTTCTTGATCGTCAGCCTCTTCTTGGGAATGTATCTTTCACGAGAGGAGTCCGCCGCTTTTTGTATGCAGTGACACCTAAAGAAGCTTCGTTTGCTAAACTTGATGACGTACCGGACTATCTAAACGAAGTGAGTACCGGAATAAAGTGAAATGCATGCAGTAAGGGAAATGGCGTAAATTCGTCTTAATCGTCAAATCCACCCTGCTGATTTAGCTTTCATGAATTGGATGAAAATTCGTCTGATGCCCCAAGCTGATTTTACTTAGGACGAATTCGACTAAAATTTGTCAAAATTGTCAATTCCGCCAAGCTGATTCCCTATGAGAATTTGACCAAAATTCGTCAAAATTTTGAATTCTGCCAAGTTGATTTTACTTTGACAGGTTTTGACTTAAATTTGCCAAAATCGTCAGATCCATGAACATTCACTCCGTTTGACGAAATTTGTCAAATCTGTCATTTTCGTTACTGCATGCATTTCTGGACATAAGTGAACTAAGGTGCTAAGACCTCTGTTTGAAAATTGGGCTCCTGCTTAATAGACAGGGTACAAGACTATGGGTGTAGGCAACCCTTGGAGAGGGTCTTATGTACCAATTGTCCTGGCAAAGATCATGTAATTCTCAAGGAAAAGCTAGCTTAATTAATGAGTCATTGACAGCTGAGGCCATTCTCATGGCATCTGCACTGTGAGCTGATCCCTTTGTCTGTCATATTTGGCTGGAAAATTAACATTTATTTTACCTCTTTGCCTTGTTTTAGGCTGTTCCTTTCTTCCTCGGAGCTATAGCTTTAGAGTACGTATTAGCTTTTCTGACCAGACTTCCACCAGCAAGGTTGAATGATGCATTCAGTTCCATTGCTGCAGGAACTTTGTCGCAGTTGTCCAAGTAAAGAGAAGATGTTTTAATGAATTTTTATAATGTGATATCATGTGAGATCTTGTTCAAGTTAATGCTATCTTTTGCATCTTTGCTACTTTGTTTTGTGTTGTTTGAATTTTTTTTTTCATGAAGTTCAATTTCTATAGGCTGAACCATCTGACCCACTGTGATGGCCAAAAATACTTGTACATGTCCAAACAGTTGAAGTGAAGTGAACAATTGAAGCAGTTGCCAAAATAAAATTGCAAATAACAAATTACTCCAATCATATGTAAAGAAACTGAAAAACAAGAAAAAAAATAATGAACAACAAAAGACACTTACAAATGTTGTACAGGATCTGCTACAAATGGCTGATGACATAAAACAATTGATTGAGAAATATCCATGCAGTTAAACAATAAAGCTGAATGAGGAAAAATTATAGTATGGAACTTTTATGAATGATGCCAAAAAAGGGAAATTATGCAAAAAAAAATTAACAGAATATTATTGAAAACAAAAGAACTAAACAAAAATGCAACAGAGAGAAAAAATATGTGCTTATAATGAATAGCATCAACATAATTTTTGGCTGTAACATACACATTTCCTATGGTTAACACTTTAACTCC